CATTTTAAAGGATTTTTTAGTGTCCCACTCACACTTGCAAGTGAATCGTTTTTGTTTTTAGAAGTTAGACGCCACAAGAGCAAAGAATATGCGCTCTCAACCCAATTCCTATTTTCGGGACCAACCACTGGTAATCGAGAACTCCGTACAACATAAAATGGCAGGGGATAATGTAACTAAAAGAGCTGTATATGGTGTTTTTCTTACACACTCTGTAATGGTTCAGTACCTGTAAAATACATGAAAAGTCTGGAATAAGTAGGGGTCTTAAAACTCTGGGGTCAACAACACTGGGATCCAGTCCTGTGTCTAGTTTGCCTCTTTAAAAGTAAGAAGGCAATAACAAGAACAACAACCAAAATCATACAAATACACAACTCTTGAACATGTGACATCAGTGGTCTTAACAGAAGCATTTGGTGTTGCATTTCTGATTGTGTAACTGCCACACTTGATACATGACGCACAGTCCATTTATTAATTTAGAAGTGACAGGGCAGCAGCAAAAAAGTTTGAAAAAACAAAAGGGGAAATAAAAGTCTTAGGTGTTAATTAAAACAAAACTTTGCCCCTACGGTCGCTAAATGGACTGTTGCTTTTTGTTTAACAGATTTGCGACACTCCATTCCCCAGGAAACTTGCCACCAGCCTCTGGGGTTGTGAATGGAAAGGTCTTGATTTTATCTGTGCTATAATTACTTTTTGGAATAAAAAACACGTTCACATGGTATGAAAATGGCCTTGTGAAAACAAAGCTGAATATGAGGGAATGTGCAGCGAGGAGACGAAAAGGATCACTGCTCCATTTCCAAGGTCTCAAACCCGTTGCTTATCCCAGTGGAGCTCACGGCGATGGTGGGACACGTACCGTTTTCTTTCTTGCTCACTTCTTTGCTGATGGCTGACCTACAGACGTGATTCATGAGCTTGAGCAGGTCAGGCCAGCGCTTCGCCTTGAAGCAGGTATTGACGTGTCCCAGGAAGGTCAGGTTTTGCTTCCTGGAAAAGGTCTGGGAAAATAAGTCCTCAAAGGCCTCCCGCAGGGGCAGGAGAATCAGTTTATGGTCCACTGGCTTGTACCTGAGGACAAGAATGGGAGAACATTAACAATACAATGCCAATCACCTTACACGTTAACACAAATACAGCACCACAGTTTTTACTATTGCAGCATTACATTATTTGTTTATGGAAGCTGTAAACCTAAGGTACACTATGTACTTGAAAAAGGAGGGTAGAAGCAAGCATACCTTGAACACCTAAGATACCTGCAGAGCCAAACAAATCTGTTTGGAAACAGGTAACTAGAGACCGGCCAGTACATAACCCCATCCCAATACAATTAATGACCCGTTGTAAACCATATAGCGATCAAACTTCCACATGAATGAATAATGGGACAGAAAATACACATCTTGTAAAAGCCTCTGTGATCACATTGACGTAAAGAACACTCTGTCACATAACAGGTTCAGCTCTTTTTCTGCAACACTTTTTGGGGGTGAAGAGGTAATTTATTTCTTCTTAGGAATTGCTAGACAAAAAATAGATATATACACACATACAATTTGAAATCTCCGATTGTTTATCAACGCAGCTTGCCAGCACAAGATGAGAGGTCCACAGCACCTTACAGTAGAGCTGACTGAATGAGCGGCGCTTCTCTCACTAACATCCCTGCAAGCTCATCTGGAGTCGGGAGTCACTATTATCACCCTACAAGGAACCCCTGGACTGCAGCGGCCCCCCAGAGCCCCCTGGACCCCCCAGAGCCCAGCCTGCTGTAACCTGCCGAAAAGAGCAGCGCTTGGCCAGCTGTGTACTGCAGCCTGGAGATCACCAGCCACAGCCGAATACTGACTCAACTGACACAATGAGGGATGGATCCTGGACCGGTCCTCTCAGAAGCCCACATTTAGGGTCCTGATTTAAATGAAGACACAACCCAGCTAACAATACTTCAGAAAGGAATCCAATCCGAAATATTACTGGACTTGTATTTGGTGCTGTAAGAACTCATTTTCATGACTGGGAATACGACCTGCCTATTTGAAAACCATTTCAGATTTGAGGCTTGGGCTCCTGTTCTCATGATGGTGTTCAGTGATTACAGCATGAAAGGGCACAAGCTAAACTTTAACAGGCAGAATCGCCAACGAAAGTTCAGACCGGAGTGATCTGAACACACTGCGCGCACACTACGACCCTCAATCATTTCACTGGATGACCACGATAAGGCTTTCACCAACATAAATGTCAGGAAACATCGTTGAAAATAAGTGCAGCTCTTTCACTCACCCTCCTAAGAGGTCTGCCGTGTCGCTCTGCTGGTTCATGTTTACAACCCGTAACCTGTGGCCTGCAATATGAAAGACCACGACTTTAATTTCTTTTATTCTTGCAGTTTTATATTACATGCAATACACATTTGAAAACAAAGATGTAAAACATGGAATGGGAACTTCAAAATACAGAAACACACAGAAATAATGACTGACTAGAAGTTACCCTGAGCAGTGGTGGCTTTCTCTAGAACAGTGACGAGAGGGGTGGCCACACCTGGTGTGGGAGAAGCGGTCTGGGCTGGGAGCTGGGAAACCGGATCACCCTTAAATGATCCATTTGTAAAGAACTTTTTTTACGTAGTCTATGCCAATGGTAAACTAATGCAGTTAAATAGTTTTTATCAATTTAAGTTCATCTGGTCCTCTGGAGGCAAGGACGGACAGCGGTGGGCTAAGAGCGTTGCACCGCGTTCGATTTTCATTTCAAATAAAGTTTCGAGTTCGTAACTGAAAACATTGCCTCCTTAAGCCGTCACAATGATTCTTCCAAGTGCTTACAAATTGCTGGCGATGCGCAACACCCGCTAGACTGTGGCTCTGCAGGACCGATGTTGGCCACTCTTGGTTTAGGATAAGATCGGGATCATAATGAAGCTCATGGCGAGAGCTGTGGCTAGCAGGAATGCCAAGGCTCAGCTCAGGACTCAAACGAGATTTCAAGCTAGCGTTTGGCAGGAGGGTAGCAACTCCTCTTTCACTTCACAAACCGCACCCTGAACGAGAATGCTGGTGTGAAAAGTTTCAGAAGACTCAAAATACAGAAAGAATACACAAAGAAAACACAGCTGCAGCAAGGCAATCTGCAGACAGGAAATGTTCCCGACTGGCTCCTCCAGTACAAGAAGCGGTCAGCGCTCACCTGTGATGCCTGCAAGGTACTGGACTGTGGAGGTCTTGCCAGTTCCCGTTTCTCCCACCAGCAGAATGGGTTCACCTTTGTTCACGCACACCGACAGCTGCTCCAGCAGAACAGACGAAGGCCGAGTGGCTGCAAATGTCTGCTTCTCTCTGGGGGGAAAAAAAAACTCTTTCTGCTCCGGTTGCTAAAAGATGATTCATTGTGCCTTCAGCATTTCCAACTGATACAGAATGAGCGACCAGTAAACTTAAAGGCAAACTGATTCTTCCACCCCCCCCAAAAAAAAAAACACAATACAGAAATGTCCAAATATGTTCCTGAAGTCTTCAATGTTTTGGTGAGAAAAAAATTAATTACCCATTTAATCAATAAACATTAAAACTAATAACTACAAAGCTAAAAAGATGAGTATATACACCATACACAAGATACTTTTATCATCCAAACTTGACTGAATCAATTCCACTTTTAAAGTAACACAGAACATTTAGTATTTATAGTATTTTTAAAAAAAGCACATGCATAACCATTACAAGGCTCACTTTATATCATTCTCTGTTTGCACAGGCCGATTTTAGTTTTTATTCTTCAGGACTATAAAGTTACTTCCCATTTCAGCGCTGTGCTCAGGCTTAACAGACCCAATGAAACTACACTTTCTAAGACATTAACTGTTAAAATAAGTGCATTATTAAATATAGAACACGAAGGGACTTATATACACAGTATTTTTAATAATATATATATTTTTTAACTCATTTTATAAGACATTCTGTTGTGGGTTGACTCTGCTCCTCAATAGTCAATTAAGAAGGCTATCAATTGTTTTTTAAAGAAGTAGAGTTATAGGGATATAATAAGGGCACTTTTATATGCTGAGGGCAGAAGTTTTATCTATCATATGGGAGAGATCAGGAATCAATTCAATGTTTATTCAAATAACCAACAAGGAACTTAACACTCTGCAAGCATCTGTTGACCTGATCATCAGACTTGTATAAAGATCAGAGGACGGCCCGCAGTCCCAGACCAGCTTACACGTAGAGACGGATTGCTTCATTCTGTTTGCGGGCAACCGCGGCTCTGCCCACTGCCACTTCCATCTCCGACAGCCTAATCGCTGGCTTGTACATCTTGCAGAAGTGTTCCGCCTGTTGCAAGAAGAGCACCATGTCCATTAACTAGCCCACTGACCAGGCCAAGCCCAAACCAAAAAACATCACACTTGTAAAACCCATTGAATCCTTATTCAAGTTAAAAAATTTAATTAAAGAATTTAATGTGGGTTTAAAAAGGGATATCATTGTTTTTTTTAATAATTTGACATTTTTCATTTGTGGTTTAAAATCTTTAAAAAAATTACACAAATTACAAATAGTTTTAATCTGCAGACCCCCCAATGTAATCAAAACAGTCTATATAAAATCAAAATGCAATTATGGCTCTTTAAAGCCAACTGGTTTATTAGACCCTATATACTAATCTTCAGCAATGAGATCAATATACTGTAGCCTGGTAATGTACAAATCTTGACTTCTTAAAGTTTTACAAATGAGAACTGAGCTTGTTTTAAACAAGGGACCATCTATTAACAGTATTTGAAACTAAGCAAATCTCTTATTCAAGTCTGTAAAACATTAGTGATGTAAATGTGAAAGCTCTTAAGGTGACACTGCACTCGGAGTCTCGTGGACATTCACTGAAGCAAGTGGTTACTGCTGATAAGGGCCTGATGGATGACCACAGCTGTTCACAATGAACCATTTAATCAATACCTTTTCTTTTGAAATGTTGAGTTTGCTCCCGATGATTTCTGCAGTTCTCTGCCTCCTCTCGGGATTAGACAGCATAGCAGCAAAACAATCCAGTGCCTAAGAAAAGAGACAGTTTATCAGATGAACACAGCGCTCATTGCTAAATAAAATAAAGCACAAAAGACACCTGCTATTATTCTGGTCCTACTCCACAAAGATTAAAACAGAATTAGCTATCAATCTACTCATCTTTATTGTTTTGAGGATTATCAGCTCAATCTAGTAAAAGATGAAGTGAGTTAAAAGGGCAAAATGATTGAGATAATATAACAGTCACTTATACAAAGTGCTGTATCCTGTAAGGAATCATAAATCTGCAAAGAATAATTAGGTTGTTAAACAGGTATACAGTTTTTAACATTTTCAAGCCTTATGTTGCAGTAACTGTAACATTGTCAATTTTCTTGCATCTGGTACACAGTGCATCATTTATTAAGATTTTAGTGGGGCTCATACAGATTTTCAACTGCTTCACGAACCCCTCCGATCTACCCGTTTAAGGACGAGCAATTGAGAAGCCAAAGCGTAAACCACAAACGCAAACCCGAGCCAGACACCCTCATGTGCTACAAGAGGGGGTCAGCTAAATTCCTTACACAACTGAATCGCAAGGTCCAAAAAAATCAACGACTGGGCATCCTGAGTCTCCCGCTAGCAAAGCGAACGCTGCAGCTGAACCAACAACCTCACCCCGGGTGAACCCCAGGCCTCTGGAAGCTTACCTCTTGGAACACATTGAGTGCAGTGGAGGATGAAGTGCTGTCAAAGTTATTGGCAATTCTTTCGCACCACTTCAACAAGTCTCTGAAAGAGTTTTGGACAAGAAAACGGGAATAAGCTCAACAACAGACAGGCGGGCAGGTAAATACGAAGGTTGTCATCCAAGAAGGCTGCCCTCACACGACACAAGCGACCTCTGCGGTCCCTGTACTGAGGAAAAGCCAATCGATCTCCCATCGACTGCGGCAGGACACAGCGGAAAGCTAATTAAAAGCCAGAGGGCTCGTTATCTGATGTGAAGTACGAAGCGAACTTGGTACAACGCTGCTGTCAGGAGGACTCATAGACAGGAAAATTTTAATAATCCTTTATTTTCCTATCCTTAAAACACTGCTTCGGTGGTATTATTCAAATGTGCAAAATGGTTCCCTGCCATTGAAATGTGCCTCACAATGCTAACATTCACCGTGTTCAAAAACAGTGCTGCCATGGTCAGCAGAAGACTTTCCCAAGTCATCGAGAAGACAGGAGAATAACCTCTCCATAATATTTGACATTTCAAATAACTTTGCTTCCCATCATGTTATCATTTCTTCCATCCGGGTTTTGTCCAGGATGATATAAAGGGATGCTATTGCTAGGTAAATACAAGACACTGGGTCCAACACAAAATATATAGAGCTTCTACAAAGCTAGTGTGTAAAAGAATCGAAGCATTATTGCAAAAAACTAACTAACTTTGCTTTCAGAAACATATTTATGGATGTTGAAGGTGACATCTTTGCGTCTTTTCAACGTATTTAGCTGAAAACAACAGCGCTTTATCAGAAATTATACAGAGCAACATATTTCTAATCTTAGACCTAGGATGACCCAACCCATCCACTCTTTATAGAACATACTCTCCTACCCTGTGGAGGGTGATACCAGATCCCCTCCATAAAGACAAAGAGAGAATTTACTTCCTTTATAAATAAAAGCATAATGAATTATAATAATTAGAAGTTTGTTTGTGGGTAAGGATGTTATTATTAATGTTGTTGTATTAGACATTTTACCTGCTAATTGACTATTTTTCTTATGGTATTGGACTGAGCTCTGACAGAGCAATGTTGTTAAATGTTGTTGTGCAGCCTAGTATTGTACTCTTGCTGTATTATCGTCATATACAGTATGTTACAGTATATAGGAAAATGAAAAGCTTTATTCCATGCTGAAAGGAAAAGAAACAAGAATGTTTTGGCTGTGCAGCCTTTTTCAGGTGTCAACATATATATGAGCTATTGATGTGTAGCTCCCTTAGGCAATAAAGGTTCACTCAATTCTATTCTCAATAATAACCCACACAATAGCAGATGATTCAAGCGTTATGTGATTCTTAAACTAACTAGCTGAAAATTCTTTGATTTTTACAATTTGATAATCAGATTTTATTTTTTTAGAAGTCCAAAACTCTTTAAAATGAATTTACTTCCTTTATACCTAAAAGCATTCAATTGTTGAATAATGAAAAGATTGTTTGCAGGTAGGGATCTCATTATTATTGCTGTTGTATCAGACATTTTACCAGTTAATCGTCTGTTTTTAATCTTACGACACTGGATTGTGTTCTGAGTGAGCAATGTTGTTCAATATTGTTTTGTATCACAGTATTGTACTGATGCTGTACTGTATTATTGTCATATATGTTATATATTAAGAGCTCTTGATGCGCAAGAAAAGCTCCCAATAACTTTCAATTCTCAATAATAATTACCAGTTCAATGTGAGAGGATTCAAGCATTATGATGTGCGTCTTAAATTAACCATCTGAAAATTCTTTGGTTTTTATAATTTGGTAATCAGGTTTTATTTTCTTTATAGAAGTCCAAAACTGGATTTGTCAATGTCAATTAATTTGGCCTTACAATGCATATACTGTGTACAATACTGTTCCACCACCACGTGAACAAACTCACACACTCTACCTAAATAAGCAGTGTTGAGTAGTTCACCCTTTCCTCCCCACTGTAAGCCTTTCAGTGCCCATAGCAGAGTCAGCATCAAGCATAATAACCAAACAAGTTTTTTGCAGAGAACGTACATGATAATAGATAATAACACGTGATTGATAATAGCATGAAATTAAACACAGCAATAAATATGCTAATGGAACCAGAACTGATGGTGAACAGAATTCCCTGCTGCCAAGCTCCTACCTCAAAGACAAGCCTCTGCCCTCAAGGCCTGCTCCTCTGTCCTCCATTTTGGTTGGAAACATGTCAACAGTCGGATGACTCCCTTTGCTACATGAGGAGAAATTTTCAGACTCGCGTTTGTCTCCAGTCAACTGGCAAAAGATGTCTAGAAGTCGGTCTATCACAATGGATAGATTAGGATATCTCTTAAGCATCACCTGTTAAAATATGTTTAAAGAAGAAAATTTGGTGTTATACCGATATACTTAATCATAACTTGACATTCATTACAAAGGTTCACAAAACCTCAGAAGACATGTATTTCATTCCCATTTTACATGTTTATTCACTCCTTCAAATATTTTCTTTTTCACACTTAGATCCTTGATTATCTACTATAACCATAAATAATAATTGGCATTCTACCACATTTTAATCGTTGATCTTTACTAGTTCTAGAACTTACTAATAATATAAGCTTCCTCGTTCCTCTTTCTGGTTACTTACACCTCCATACTCCAACCGAGAAAGCCTAAAAGTCTCCCTTAAACCGGTGAAGCAATGTCATTTTTCTCCACCTAAATGGAGGCGTAGTCAGTCTACTGGTATTTAATGTGTGAACCATCACCCAGGTGGGTGCTACATTTCAGTGTCAACTGAGATCTTTGTGATGAAAATGTACTCTATAAATGAACTATTTTTATACACACTTTAAAAGATCTTACTTCTAGTAAGCGAGATGTGAATATTATAGATGAAGAAATGTCTTGGAACCATACAGTATTAGTATAAATCTGTTGCCTAGTTCCCTAGTCCTTTGTACAGGCTTTGTCCAGGCAGCACTGTTAACATGTTGCGGGAATGTCCAATTAAGGTTACTTTGGAAACTGGTTTGTTCCTTTTTTTATCCACTGCTACGAATAAGAATACTACCAGCTGCTGATGAGTACTTTTACACAAATTATAACTTGAAACTTGGCTCAACAACTGAAAGCATGTCTCCCACCACAGCAGAAAAAATGTTGGTGCTGTGCTGGGAGACTGCATGGATACATGTAGATGAACCCTGCTGCTGCTGGTATCCATGGCGACGCAGGAGTGCTGCAGCTGAAACAGTCAAATCCTGACTGCAAAGTGCCTTTATCACAGCTGTCTAATACTGCTTGAGGGGCGCTCATGGTGTAGAGCTTTGTTGTTCGTTTGTTCTCATTTTAGAGAAACTTCAACTAATAAAAACACTAGTTCACAAGAAAAAAATAAATAATTCCATGAACACTATCATCTTCTGATACAACGATTTTGATCTCACCTCCTTCAGTTCCTCTTGGCTCATACTGGTGAGCTGTATCCTGGCCCAGTGTTTATCCAAAAGAGCTGCGTGGCTGTTCTGTGGCCTGTACAAGCCCCCACCACTGCTCAACAACCTTCAAATCAATAGAAAAATAAAAGACATGAGACAAAAAACTATCATAAAATAACAGTTATTTCCACTACCACATTCTCATTTGGACAGCACCATGGAGTTAGGACTGGACTCAGGACTCTGGACTCAAAGGTCATGGCTTTAAACCTGAGCTAGCACACTGCCGTTTCACCCCGATTCAAACTGCTCCAGCCAAAGCATTATCAATGGGTACTTCTTGAGGTAGAGCTTTTACAACGAGTAAATCTAAATTGACTTGGTTAAAATGATTTAAAAAAACGCAATATTTTGTCATAGTAAAATTACAGTTCTATAACATGTCAAAATATTTCAGATACACTGATTCGATAGAAAAATAAAGGTCAAGGTAAACTATTTGCTTTACAATGTGATGAAAACACTGCTCTGATCGTGACTTAGTGACTCAGTCAGAGCAAAGCCCTGGGGCAGAGGAAGAATATTCTGCTGTATGAGGAGAGGGGAAATGCTGTACCTCAGACTTTGACAAGCTACATATAAACGTCATTAAAAACCTAATGTTTAACTCTCACTATTTAAGAAAAAGAAAGGAAACTTCGATCTCTCTTTCACTTTCAGGAATTTCCTCTTGCTGCTCAGAGAGCTCCCGATGATTTCTCACCTCCTTGTTGCAAAGAACTGAAAGCCCGGGGCCACTTCGATACAGTCTCCGCGGCCGGGGATCACGAGTTTCTTGTTCTCCATCAGAGGGATCAGCACAGAGATCTGCAGTACAAACACAGTGAGCGGCAGAATGATCACTGAAACCACCAGCGGTGAACTTCTCATTGATTCAAGAGCTAATTTGCTTCATTTTATTCCCCACAACGGCCTATGGTCATTTAAATATACTTACATTATCTAGCACGTAAAATTCACATGAATACACAGGGGGGTACTGACAGATGTTGAAGGTAGGGACCAGAGAAGGGCTACTTACACTGACATGACTTATAATTAATTTCACTTATATGGCGTTCTTCTGGACACAAAGTGCTTTACAGGTAATGGGGACTTCCCTCCACTACCAGACTGTACCAGTACGCTCCCCACACACCAGCTATCAGTGGGGAGGAGAGCAGAGTGATGAAGCCAGTTCATAGATGGGGATTATTAGGCCATGACGTACAGAGGTGAGGGGGGAATTTGGAAATTTGGATTTTCTTCTCAAGAAAATAATGTAAAATAGGAAAGATAAGGATGTGGACCTGAGAACATGCACAACTCAATTTTCTCCTCATAAGAAATAATGGAATATGGTAGGAAAAGAGACTATAAGTTAGAGTAACATTGGGTATTATGTGTGGTGATCCAGAAACTGTACATGTACAGTACAGGTATTTTACTGTATAACACACATGCATATTTAGAACAATTTCTGAGCTTATAACATCATTTTCACCAACCAAACACCTAATTGAAATCTGCATTAAACTCTTTTTCTTATATTATAAATATTTTATTCAGGATTAATAGAAAACCATACTTAGATTACATTTTAAGACCTTAAACTATAACCTCTCACACTTAAAAAAATGTAAGAATTATTTTAATAGAAACCCATTATAGTGCACAAAAACATTTTAAAAATAAATTTGCCTTGATACATCAATCATTTTTATGATCTTGAGAAGCCGACGAGTTGTGGTCCTTTGGCCTAATGATATATAACATAAGACAACTCAGACAGGACGTAAGGAATAGATGGTAACCCAACACTGATGCAAAATACTGTACCGTATGACTTTGCAGTCTTTTTTCAAAAGAAATTCACAAAATGACTAAGTTAGGGCACTTTTCCCAAACTCACATCTTTTACTTTTTGAGTAACCAATTGTAAAATCTTATCATTTCAACTCCCTGAATTTATACAAACCTAACTGGACAACCAGACCTCTCTGCACTAGATTTACACCTAAAGCCTACTGTTTGCCCCCACTTGAAAATACCCACCACATCTAAAGGGGCATGATCGATGTCTTCTAGGAGGATCCAGTGACCACTGGCTACAGCTTGTGTCAAAGTGCCAGGCTGCCAGACAAACTTTCCAGGAACATCCGTACAGCGATACATTCCCAGCAACATCTGTGATAAAACACGAACAAAACAAAGTTGCTTCAGTATTGTACTTCATTGTATCTCCACAATTAGAAATAACACACAACCATTCCTGAGCAGAATGCTGCTTCTCCAGATGAGTGTCTCAGAAAGAGAAAGTGCATTCCAGAAGCACAGGGTTACTCTCCTCCGCGAATGAACCGCAGAGAAGTTGTGCTGTCTGGAGAAACCAGACCAAGAACAGGGAACTATAAGGCAGCACTGCTAATTACCATACAACCATTCTGCACAAAATAATAGCATACACAAACCTTTAAAAGACACCATTTTTAAACCAGCAACCATTATGGAAGCCCACACAGAAGGAGAGAGAAGAAACACACATTTCCTTTTGTCCATTTAACCTTTGATTAGGTACCAATAGGTGTCAAACCCACGGCTTCAACCGATGTTTAGCTATTATTTTTTTTTACCTTGCTGTCTGTTTGATCTCCAAGTTGCACCTTCAGAATTTCTGGAGGCTTTAGGTGCCCAGTCACTTCAGCCAGGTATTCTACCAGAGCGGTTTTGCCACATCCAATGGGCCCTTCCAGCAGCACAGCCTTCTGGGAGGCAACAGCCATAGCGAGCCTTTGCAGGCTTTGGCAGGTAGAATCCACCAACACAATGTCTTTCGCACGGCCCTGTAAAGTCAAAAACACAAGCTAAATCACCACATACTTTATTCTGAGGTTTAAATGTGCATCTGAAAATGTAATGTTAACACCTCGTTCCCTAAGACCATGAGAAAATGTTTTCTTATCTTAATTGATAAAAAACACAATCTTTAAAACTGATGCTGTCAGCAAAACAGAAACAGTTAACTATAACTTAAGGATAAAAAATAAAGTCTTCACTACCACATAGTCTAAGATTGCCATCACGCTAACTTATCCTACATACCGTACTTTTTCAGTTCTATTATGCTATACACCATTGTCTATGAAGTGTTCTAATGTTTTATTTAATCTCTTATTTAACCAGGCAAGTCCATTAAGAACAAGTTCACATTCATCCATTATACAACTGTGGAGTAAAAATCCACCGGAGACCTTTTTGCTGAGCAGAAGACGAGTTCATTGTATGTTCGGCTAAAGAGAAGCACCTTCCTTGCAATTAGGAAGATGGTTCCCTCAAGAGAAGTTACAGCTGACCTTTTATACACTTACTTGATAGGGAACACAAAGAGCTTAATTCTCAAAAGAAAAAACTTCAGTCTTAATTAATTTCTATTGGTTAAGCAAACTTCTGCTTTAATGTGAAACTTTTACGGAAGATGTCTATGTAACTAAGCTATATCAGTGTTATCTTCAGGCAGGTAGTTATAATTGGCCTTCTACACAAAGTTAATTCTTTGGGATTCTTAAAACCAGCATTCTTTGTGCCTGCAGGCCCCTAGTCTTATCAGCAGCAGATACTGAAATGTTACAGCTAGCAGTTTTACTGAACAGAGAAAGAATTTTAACCCTTCACAACAAACAAATTTTCCCTAACAATCCTAGTACTTTGCTCAAGAGCACAACAGCAGCGTCCCATCTAGGGAACTGAACCCGCAACTCTACGATGCAGAGACCAGGGCCCCAATAAAACTCCACACGGATGTCCCTAGCCACTTTTCCTTTGACTTCAAAATGGCATGTTACAAGTGGAGGAAGAAAATACCCGCTGAAAAGTCTTCTCAGAAAACCTGCTTGGAAACTTGACTGAGAAGCACTTTTAGACAATACTAACCAGGCCCAGACCATTTGGAAAGGCCCTGCACTCTGGAAAATATAACAATAACCAAACAAAATCACTTGGAAAGTGCATTAGTGAATTAAAAATGGATGCTTTATGCTTTTCATAAGCAAACTACAGAGTGCTACATAGTGCTTTCTATTGCTAACCAATTGTACTATCAAAAATTGGCTCCTGAGGAGCTGCTTTAAGGCAGGCAAGTTTAAGTTGAAGCAATAGGTCCACTGAGTGGGCATCAGTGTTTACAAATAAAAATGAAACAATATGCCTTGTAGCTGTTAAATCATCCCCTAATCTTGTTTCAATCTACCTTGCTATAGCTACTACTGTCACCACAGCTACAACAATTTCTGGACATCCCTGCATACACTATTTTGCCCACTATTGCCCTACTGCCATCTATCCCAACACCACCCTGCAAAATGTCCATCTCGAGGTGCCATGGCAGAGCTCTCAGCTTACCGAACACAACTCTGATAAAAGCAACTGTTGGAACCCCTGCTTTTTAAAAAGGCAAAGATTCACATGCAGTCGTCAACACACGTCAACACACAAAACAAAAAACATTTCCATCACTTGTTACAAAAAAAACAAAAGCCACGCCTGATGCTCTACACAGGTTCGAATCTTGCTCCTGGACATTCTTAGCACCCACCTGCTCTCGGCTCCCGAGGGCCCTTCTTGGTAGCAGAACCCCACAGACTGCAACGACATTCTGGGACAGGTCATCAGGCCCGACCCGGTCCCGGGCGATCCCTCCCTGGTGTGTGGGTGGAGTGCCTGGGTTGGCCAGCATTAGGGCTTTTTCAACATTCTGCAGCTGCTCCTCCTCCAGGCTTCTGTATTAATCCAGAATGAGAAACACACACATCAGCACTTCAAGTCTGAGAGGACGAAACCCCAGCAATTACTATGAGACGAGTCGAATTCTGGTGCTTTCAAATAAACGTTGCACAAAATGTGAAACACATAAGTTCCATAAGTTTCCCCAAACGGTAAATACCTCGGCCGTGAAGAGAAAATCCCGATTAGGTCTAAATCAAAACATAACACTGCATGCTCCACAAGCATCCATTACTCTACAGTAGGGTGTATTCGTGAACCTCACTTATTCGTGATTCAGGGTTTTGG